CCCTTGTCATTTGAGTCAAACTATTTATCGATGCCTTTATTTTACAGTCAACATTTAACTTCTGCCAAGTATGTAAATTGCATTTCGAGCAGCCCTTGTCATTTGAGTCAAACTATTTATCGATGCCTTTATTTTACAGTCAACATTTAACTTCTGCCAAGTATGTAAATTGCATTTCGAGCAGCCCTTGTCATTTGAGTCAAACTATTTATCGATGCCTTTATTTTACAGTCAACATTTAACTTCTGCCAAGTATGTAAATTGCATTTCGAGCAGCCCTTGTCATTTGAGTCAAACTATTTATCGATGCCTTTATTTTACAGTCAACATTTAACTTCAGTCGTTTCATCGCATACGACTTTTGCCAATAGAATTTTAATTAAAGGTTCTGTTTTTGATTTCACGGATACTTTCACTTCTGTTATTTTACAGGTTTTATTCCCTTCACTCAAGTTATTAACACCGTACAGAAAAACAAAAACACAAAGGTGTAACTTTAATAAGAGATACAAGTTCTGGTTTGAACGGTGTCTTTTCTCTCCCCCATACTTCATATTACGCAATTAAATGACAAAATAATTAATTAAATTAACCAACCAGGGAAAACCAATTTGAAAAGCTGGATACATTAAAGTGGGTCTGTGAAAACATGAAAATGGCATGTTTAGAGTAAACGGAATCTTAGTATAAAACCTTTTTTTTTATTGATATAGATATCGGTACACATTTGCATCGCAAGAACCAGGATGTTGGGAAGGTCAGAACTATGTTGTTCGTAATTGACAGTAAAGAAAAAAAAAACCCAGATCATATCACCTGACACAGCTAGCCTATCCACATGACTGAAAGGGTTTTCGAATGTCATGGAGGTCTTGCCGTAATGAATCCTCAGATGAGGAAGTAATACAGAAAAACCATTCATTATCTCTTTTGTATCACTTAACACACTAGTTAACTGATCTCTTTAACCGGGGAAAGCCCTGTCTGTTCTTTATTCTGACGATTCCGTTATACAACATCCTCCTCACAAGACAAGATTTCATGCACACTATACATAGTTCCTCACTGTTGCTGCTGAATGAACCATTGACAAAAATAATAAACACATCACCATTCCTTTTTTTTCTCTTCTTCTTCTTCTTTAAATTTTGGAAAATATTAGGATGGTCTCACAGAAGAAAAGTTGTTATAAAATTGAAGAGGGAATTAGCAAGGTTTAAACTCTGCTGAGATAAAGTATCAAAACACGGCATCTTAGAGTCTTTTACTAAGATGTTCTGAATTATTTGGTACTGGAATATACCTCTCATGTCATAGCCATTTAAGAAAAACAGGAATTAAAAGTATCATAGGGTTAATTCATCTGATATGTTACCACCAACACACTATATAGATGTATCTAAGCCTCACATGTTGTTAAGATTATGTATCAGTTTTATTTCTCGTTACTGCGTGAGACCAGTAAAATTGTTTTAATAAATTAAAATAAGGACTGTAGATTCGTCATATCTGCTAATAAAGCTTGTGATAAAGTATACACGTTTTATCCTTTAAATAACTGTCACCTGGGT